ATATGGAGGCAGTGACAGATTTTACTTTCTTGGGCTCCATGATCACTGCAGATGGTGACAGCAGCCACGAAATTAAAAGACACCTGCTTATTGGGAAGAAAACGATGACAAACCTCAATAGCATCTTAAAAAGCAGAGACATCATCTTGCCAACAAAAGTCCACATAGTCAAATCTATGGTTTTCCCTGTAGTGATGTATGGAAGTGAGACCTGGACCATAAAGAAAGCTGACCGCCGAAGAATTGATGCTTTTGAATCGTGGTGTTGGAGGAGGCTCTTGAGAGTCCCCTGGACTGCAAGGAGAACAAACCTATCCATTCTAAAGGAAATCAAGCCTGAGTGCTCATTGTAAGGACAGATCCAGAAGCTGAGGCTCCAATACTTTGGCCATCTCATGAGAAGAGAAGACTCCCTGGAAAAGACGCTGATGTTGGGAAAGTGTGAAGGCAGGAGGAGAAGGGGACGACAGAGGATGAGATGGTTGGTCAGTGTCATCAAAGCAACTAACATGAATTTAACCCAGCTCCGGGAGGCAGTGGAAGACAGGAGGGCCTGGCGTGCTCTGGTCTGTGGGGTCATGAAGAGTCGGACTAAACGACTAAACAACAACAATTTGGATATTTTCCATTAAAAGAAAAGCAACAGTGTCCAACTACATCTATTTCCTCTACAGATACACTATCTTAATCTCTGACAAGCTTAAAGGGGAATATAAAGGCACAAGAGTTTAAGTACCATGAAGAAAGAGTGCTGATGTGCCCATAACTAATTCAAGGTTTCATCGATATAAAATAATTGTTATCCCATTTCTTTAAATATGTACAGCTTAATATTTTTTCACTCACCATTCATGGCTAAATACCATTTTACATACTTGTGGGCCAAACTAGATGATACTGTTGCTTTTTATTTTTATTTAACAAGGGTGCTTCATCAAGTGATTGAAAATGTAGATTTGCTATAGCATGTGTCTCCTCACTGATGTATCCTGCGTCTACAACAGCATTTGTTTTGTGACTTTGTCACTGGAACAGATGCTTAATTTGCCATTCTGATTGCTGAGGTACATAACTCTTAAGTAAAATCCCATTTTGAAAGGGAACATGGGATTATAATGTTAGATAATTTTGTATTCAGAGCCACACTCCTAATTTAAGGCAGTAACTGGTGTGTAGGGGTCTGGCAGTGAAATGACACCTTTTGTGCTTTCCCTCTGCCATTACAAGCCCTCTTTGCTAAGCTTGTTTTATGTTAAGTCTTGGAAGTCTTCCCTGCAATAAAGATTTTTGTTGCTCTGAAAATACCTGCCAGTTTCCTGTTGCCAACACTAATTTGAAGCAGTGGGTAATAATAAAAAAGCTTCTCCACATAAGGATTAAAGGTTGAGAAATTGTTGAAAATTTAGATTTGAAAAGATAAGTCCTTTTCTATGTACCAAAAGAGATGTAAGCAAACATAATTATATGGTTTATCCATTTTTAAGATGAACACACTGGAAATACTGTACCACTGTTTTCATTTCCTCTGGGAGATTGTACCATCTGACAACATATTCTTCACTAAAGGAAACACAGAATAGGAAAACAGAAGTGCAGACACATCTGTGTTTCTAACAGGAAAGGACTTCCAAAATTGGATTTCTCCAACAGGATAAATTATCATAAACCTCATAAAAAGATCAGGCTATAAAATAAAAAAGATTATTTTAAAGTTTGTGAAATAAGAGCCCTTATCTTTTAACATACTTAGCTCAAAGCTGTGTGGTATATTTTCTTTCTTACTTTTGAAATTAGAAGATTTCTGAAAAATGGAAATAACCCCAATTCCTCTAAATGCATAGCTGCTCTGAGAACAAAAAAGGAAACACGACAGCAGCAAGACCTACCTTTTACTTTGCTGTCTGGGTCTATTTTTGCTGGTTCCTGAACTGCTGTAGCTGTGGGTATTCTTTTTCCAACTCCCTACAAACAAACAAAAGATTCACTCTTTGATTTGTTTTAACTTAACAATTCCAAAAACACAAGTAATGAACAAAATACCACAATTCACACATTTCGTCCTCTGAATGAACACTACCAACAAAACACAACTGGTTTAAGTACTTCCTTTTTAACCTGTGACAATTTCCTTAAGAAGTTTAACTGGTTAGTTCATTGATCCCTCATGACCTTATAATGATATATTATTTGTGAAAGAAAATTATGCTCTATGTGCGGCCATACGGAGTATCAAATCTCTTGGCAATTGTATATCCCAGAATAACCACTTCTTATTAAGCCTATGTAATTTTATTGACAATTACACAAAACACCAGCATGAAGAGGGATTTAACAATGTGTTACAATTCTGTAATGGTTCATGCAAATGCTTACACTTAGTTTATGATATTTCATTTGTGATAAACAAACAAGCAAACAAAATGAAACAAACCAAATCAACAAAAACATCCCCCATTGGTAACTGACAATTCACAAGAGAAACAATATTGAATTAAAGGGTCCATGGAAGCTAGTTAGTTGGACAATATTTGGACAGACAAAAGGTAAATACTAAGAAGTTTACTGTTTGCATACTTCTAATACTGAACAAAAGAATCTCAATTAAGCAATTATGGAAGAGGACGGAATTTGCATTTCATTTATCTACTGCTGTGCTAACATCTCCAGGCAACTGAGGTTCAACAGGAAGCTGTAGTACTGATCAGATTGATAGTGCACAACACAGAACGCACTGCCTCAAAAGGAGTAGAGGGCAACATAAAAATGTAGCTCTGGTATATTAACTCATAAAAGACAAATCTACACTGTGGTTCACGTGGCCAAAAATGGACAGAATGTTTCAAGATTCTCTTCCTTTTGAAACACACATACATACACAGACTCCCATAGAGAAGAGTATGCTTTCAGTATTCATTAATAGGAAGCACACCATTTCCAATTACAAGCATCCAGCAAGACAAGTCAAAATTTATGATGCGAGGGCAGATCTGCTCCATCAACTAATTTAATTAATTAGCTTAAATGGTGGCTTACAAAACTCATGAAAAGGAGGGAGGATGTTGTCATGTTTTAGGCTTTGTTGTATGGAAATAGAAACAGTTGATTTACTTTAAAGGGTGCAAAGACGTGACCTCAGAAATTAAATTCCTCTGGCTTTAGATGAGTGTTCTAGCAGGGTTGAAAGGATTTTTTTAAAAAAACTTGTATTTTGTTTGAAGTACTAGTAGACAGCATTGCAACCCCCATAGAACATGTCCTTTATTTCATTTCCATCACATTTTAACATTTTTTCTTATCAGTGTTTCCTGCAATACAGTCAAAATAGCACTTTTGCTTTCCAAACCAACCATATTAATTAACAGTGTCACATACAAGATAACAGGGTTTTGTAGATGCCCTTGTCATTCTCTGAGACAATAAACCAAGGATCTCCCATCTCAGGTGTTTGAATGTTAGACTTTTCATTCTCTTCAGATTTGAATAAATTACCAAATGGAAATAAAAAGAAAAATTAAGGTAATTGCTGGTAGAGCATACTTGAAGTTCTTCTATTTTCCTACCCTATTTCACTCAGAAAAAAAATACCACAACGATGAAGTCATGTACTACTGTATAGAAGTAAAGTGAGAGGTGTTCATTGCTAATCAAATCAATTACAAGGGCTTTTCCCATGCTCAAAATAGGTTCATATATACAGTATTATAAATTTGACACATTCGAATCCTATTTTAAAATTTGACCAAGAACACTTAAGAAAAAGGTGGGAGGTACAAACACAAAATGAATCAAAATGTACTGTAATATTAGAAACAGAACTACAGGATGCCACATATACGGTACATTAATCCTAGGATATAATGATCAAACTGTCCATAGCTTTGTGTCAAACAATAGAAGTATGACATATCATAATACACTTTTATATCTAAGGCTTTTCACTTCTCATTTGCACATATCTTAATCATTTTCATCAGAAATTTCCCAGTTTAAACATAATGTTCTCTTCGCGACATTCTTCTTCCCACATGATGATTAGGTAGAAAGTGCAGAAAGCAAAACCAAACCAGCTTCCTGTTTATGTGCTGCTCTACCTTGCCCAAACTTGAATCTTCGAATTTCCTTTGACTTCAACAATTAGATAAGAAAGGTTTACTTCTCACAAGAGAAGTGAAACAAACAAACAAAAGAAAACACACGGCATTTGCATTTTTGGTTCCCCACAATATTGCCACATCCCAAACCACTCTAACTGGATTCTTCTAAATATCCATTTCTCAATGGGCCTATGCATATGAGAGATCACACCCACACACTTTGCTCACTAAAGCCTCTGGTGATACCAGCGTTCCAGAAACAGCAGTCTTGCTTTGCAAAAGTCTGCTGCAAAAATAGGCAACTTTCACTTCTTTATGAGAATAAAAAACCAGGATTTGTTTTGTCAGCAGAAACATTATGTGTCATACAAAAAGTCCCCTGCATTTCGTATTTTAAAAATCTCGTGTGTTGTGCATAATACAATGGTCAGAATCCTATTGTTTTTTTTACTGGGCATGAAGAAAAATTGTGAAGATGTCACAACTAAATAGCAACATGCCAGTCACATGTTAGTCTCTTTTACTAATTTGCTTCATTGACAGCAAAACTTTAGAGATTCGTATCTAAATAAAATGAAAAAGTAGTTTGTTATATTAAAATTAATTTACTTTATTATACTACAGTAAGGCCAAAAGTGCTGTTCCAGCAGATTTTATCCATTTTATTTATTACTCCAATTGTTGTAACATTAAATGGTTGAATCTGCCTTTCTTCATATTATTCAATAAGGTAGGGTTTGGGGTTCGGGAATTTACGACTGGGAAAATGGATATGGGTAGGGAAAAGGTAAAATTCTGCCTCTGTATTGCCTTTTGTATAACGCTGTTTTGTATAATTTTTGTGGTTATGTGGACTGGACTATGACACTAATAAATATTCTCTGTGTATTTGTGTGTGTATATAAAAGAAGTAAAATAAGGCAACATGAATGATGAATGATTTGTCTACAACACACAGGGAACTTATGTGGCAAAATTTTTTTTAAAAAGAAGTCAGACTTTATTCCATGCTGTCTCCTTTTCAACAGACTGTAACAAAGTAACATAATTTTCACCTAAATGTGATGTTGTAAGGGGCAAATTACCAAGTTGTGGCAGCAGCAGAGAAGCTGATGCTAGAGACTCCCAGCCAGTGAATCTGGCTGCACTTCTGACCACTCCAGTGAGGAGGCAGGATGACTAGTCTCCCTGTTCAGCTGAGTGCTGAGTGGTTAAGCAGCACACGAAGGCAGGGATGTGCTGGCCGGGCTATTACTTTTGCGATTTGTGCAATGTTACCAATGATGGACATGCATGCCACACAAAGCCTGGTGGTGAGTGGACTGGGTGGGTTCTGGGTGCAGGGAATGGATCTCCATGACACCTGTGCTGCTGCACTTTGTAATCTTATGCCCAGGGATACGAATCCAAAGCTCCCATGTCTATCCAGAGGCATAATGAAGAAAAGGATGGTTATCTTATTCTGTTCATGAAAGAGAATCAATGTACAGTTCAGACATCAAGTCAAACCCATAGTTTGGCAGTCACGCAATGGAACTGGGGATTTTTCTGTGAGAGGTGAGGAGTGACCATAAAATGGTGGTTACGTAGTTCAGTCAGTAGATGCTGTGGTGGGGAGAACTCTGGATGTTTTCACTGTGTTTTATTATTACATGCAGACTCTAAACTGTGGTTAATCTTAACAAAGACTTGTTGAAACAAATCAGTTTAATAATCACTGTCTGAAATTGGTTTGCTTCAAACAAATTATAGTTAAGATTAATCACAACTGGGTGGATTTGGACGATATTGATCAAAAAAGGGAAGCAAACTTAACCTGAGCTACTCACTGCTGTGTCAGAAGACAAGGAGGGAGAGTATTTAAGTCTAAGGATTTCCTAAGCCCATTCTTGTATCACTGATCCATGATTTAGAATTCTGTCTGAACACTGCACAAATGCAAACTGTTTTCCTATCTGAAAACAAGGCTAGATTTGTTATGGTCTTCTATATATACTTGATTTTGATCTAAACACCATGGCCAACTTCCATGGGCAAAAATATATGTGACTGCTGCCCATGAGAAGGCAAACTGCACAGAGACTACACCAGTAATTTGCACTGAAAATTCTAGAAGTACTTCAAATAATGCACAGAAATTAGCTATTCCTTCCTTTGTCTCTCAAAACAAGTTTCTTTCTTTCTTTCTTTCTTTCCTTTCTAAAAGGTAGTTGTTGACGTATTTTCCTTTGCTACTTGGACAAAAATACCCACTTTTGTCAGAGGTATTTGAGACTTTCAAATTACATGTTGCCAAGTATAATACTAAGCACTAATTTAAGATGAAAAAGGAGGGCCAAACGATGCAGAGGAATAGACATGGTAACCAGAATTAGAGGCATAACAGGTATCTTGTTCAGATATCATGGAACCTAGCTCAAGATTTACTCATTTACCAGTTACTCTGAAAAGTGAAATATTATGGTCATTTCATAGGTATAATATGTATGTGTACATTGGTACTATATCTTCACTCTGTTGCTAAAAAGTGATTCTACAATAGCTAGCCCTGGCAGCTGAAAGATTTTTCTACATCTTGATTCAAATTTCATATAGAAAATCAAGGTATAGAAAACCATAGTAAAATACAGCAATGAAAAATCATACTGCCTAGGCTTAATCTTACTTTGAATATTTTCAAGGAGTGGAACCCCACCCATATTGTTCAGCTGCTGAGAGGGAATCCTTATGGAAATCTCAGAAAGCCTACAGAATTAGCCCAGGCCCCAGATGATTTCACCTTAAAATCTGCAAGCTCTCAGGGCTTAGCCATCTACAGTGGTGCCCCGCTTGACGACGATAATCTGTTCCAGGAAAATCGCTGTTAAG